ACCAATTAGGGTGTATTGATCTTTCTCAGACCCCCCGGTGGTAATAACATAAGAGAGACAATTAAGAGGAAAGTGTAAGATGGTGCTGGAAGCTAACTCATGTGCTGCTTTACTATAAATAATGTTTTATGGTTGTAAAACCAGACCTTTTTATCCACAGGGCGCTTTTTAGCATCTTATATTTAAAAACCTGAATAATCTTAAAAAACAGACAAAAATGTCCCAGTCTAGTCAGATTGGTCTGTTGGCTGGTTTTAGAGCAGTGATATTATGTATATACTGTTATAATATTTATTGATATTTTGAATGAGCTTTTATTTTTATATTTTCAATTTTCATTTTAGTTTTAGTGATTTTGTTAGGTGTGTTTGTCAATTAGTTTTTCAACATTTCTAATTTGTTTTTCATCTTTATATTTTATTTTATTTCAGCTTTATTGCAGTTATTGAAAACTTTTTGTTTAATAACTAAATTGGTCAGACATTATAAGCAGAAATGTCAAATCTTTTATATATTTTGACCAGTAGGTGGCGCTATGCCGAAACGACTCATTTGCTCTCAGGTCATGCTTGTTATAACACATACCAAGTTTGGTCAGAATCTAAAACTATGGGTGGATAGTAGATGGTTTCTAGGTGGTTAATTGGTTGCTAGTGTATGGCTAGAGGATTCTGTGTGGGTACTCAGTTGCTAGGGCATTTTTAGAATGTTTCTTGGGTGTTATTGATGGTTTATTGGTTGCTATGGGCATTGCTAAGGCATTGCTAGGTGGTTGCTAGCTAGTTGCTTGGTCGTTAGGTGGTTGCTAACTAGAGATGCACCGATCGATCGGCCAGGGATCGGAATCGGCCGATTTCCCTCATAATCGGCCCGGATCGTTGATCGGCCGATCAGTCTCACTTCTTTCCTATTCCGAGCCGATCCGTTTTGTTACCAGCGGCACAGGCAATAACGTCAGCCGCGCATTCTGGCTCTCTTCTCTCCGACGACCCCTTCTCTCTCACACACGTCTCATTCGCTCCGGTTAAATAGTGCTTGTATTGTGCATTATTTTAGTCATTCCCGCAGGTTTCGCGCTTACACCAAAAGTGCGCGCACCAACACTGATCTATAACAACTTGTGAGCCACAAATACCAAAAACGAGTGGCTAACTGTGCTAAAACGTTCAAATACATACAAAATTATGTCAAAATGCCCGTCTTGGCGAGTATCCAGTTAAACACAGTCAGTTTTGGAACGTTAAATAGTTGAGAAAGAGAACGCATGTTGTGTAGCAGTATATTGGGTCCGTGGATAAACTCTTAAAGGGACCGCAGACCAGTATTCCTGCTGCTGTCTGTCATATTAATCAAAGAACAAAAGACAAAGAAAATCACTTTCTGCTCTTGACATACGTTTTATAACTTTGGTAAGCATTAATCTGTATTTAATTTTTACAATGAAGACTACAGAAATTAAAGTAATCAAATCTAAAATAACACTGGATGTGTTATTTTACATTTGATTACTTTAATCTCTGTAGTATTTCTTACCTGAATAAAAACTTACGTAATCTGAAAAACTTAGTTTCATAGCTCTCTTTATTCTATTGCATTTATTTGTGTTGTTTGCAATTTTTTTATGTGTTCTTATTTTATTACTGACTTGTTACTTGTTTTTTTTTTATGAAAATAAAACTTTGCGTTAAAGAAAAGTAGATTTTTGTTTGTATTTGCTGTCAATTATAGTTCTTAGAAAGAAAATCGGAATCGCCAAAAATCGGTATCGGCAGATCACACTAACAAAAAAATCGGAAATCGGCCAAGAAAATTGCAATCGGTGCATCTCTATTGCTAACTATTTGTTTACATTTTTTTCAACAATTTTATTATCCACTAAGTGAAAAGCACACGTCAAATCATTAAGCCTATGATTTGTAATATACTAATATCTCCTTTAAACAATCTATAGAAGTTATATTGTTATGATGGCATTGAAAGAGTAACAATTACTGTAGTAATTGATGGTTTGCACGGCAAATATTTGTAAGGCAGTGGTCTTGCTCTTTTTTCCATGTTGACTACTTGATCTGCTTTATCCCCTTTGGCTGTCACAGACATATTTTCCCCCATCTTATCTAATCCTTATCCTCTCTTGTCTCCCGCTATCTCCCGCTCTATCTGGCATCAGTCCTCTAACTAACCTACCTCTGCGGTTTTCCTCCGTGACCCGACTCCTCGCCCTCCTCTTACGTTCATTCCTTCATTCTGTCAGCCCCTCGTGCTCCCTCGCCATCTGTCCTGTCTTGATCTCCCTCTCTGATTATCTCTCTCTTTCCCCTATCTGTTTCTCGCCGGACATCTATTCTACACATCACTGCCGCTTTAAAGTCGCTCCCGAGTAAGAGATTGGACGGGGCCGGCGAGGAAATGACAGCGCTGCTCCAATACTGTCATGTCTCAAGGCGCTCTCGCTCAGACTGCACCTGCCCCTCACGCGAGCCTGGCCAACTGTCACTTAGTGGGGCATCTCTGCATGTTCAAGCGCTGAGATTTAAAAATTGTAGTCTCTTTAAATCATGGTCTGTCACCTTTACATCGGATGTGTCCACTTGAATTTTACTAAAGAAAGCTGAAACTCCTTTGAATTTGACGCTGTAAATGTTGCCAAGTAACAATTGGGTGAAAAATGTTTGTTCCTCTGATAATTTTTTTTTATTTCCTTTGAAAACGTTTGAAGTTCATTTGTTTTTTGGCCTATATTTACTCTATAAATGGGTTGTTCTCATCTGTATAATGTGAGAAGTAGCCTAATGCACAGAGAAAAAACAAATGATTCAGAAACATTTTCACTCTGAAATGGCTAGTAAATTTGACAAACAATTACAAAAAAGGTAAATAACAATGAATTAAACATGGAAAAATGAAACTGCGTTTTTCTGTAAACTCCCAATAATCTTTGTTTTATATTAGTGCTGTCAAACAATTAATCGCATCCAAAATAAAAGTATTTGTTTACATAATATATGTGTGTGTATTGTGTTGAAAATGACAGGCCTCTCTCATCTTTTTAAGTGGGAGAACTTGCACAATTGGTGGCTGACTAAATACTTTTTTTCCACACTGTATATAAATAGACACACATGCATGTATATATTTAAGAAAAAATTGTTATGTTTATATATTAAATATATTTATATATAAATTAAATTACATGAATATAAATATATACATGTAAATGCATAGATATTTTCTAAATATATACTGTATGTGTGTGTGTTTATATATTCATAATAAATATACACAATACACATTACATATATATTATGTAAACAAAAACTTTTATTTTGGATGCGATTAATCGATTGACAGCACTATTTTATTTACAACTTTGAAATATTTTTTACAGTGTACAAATATTTAAAAAAAAAAAAAAAATTATTGCAAAATTGAACTATTTGCTTCAAGGAATACCATGGTATTACCCTGCTACATGTCTTTAAAAGCATATTTTACCATTTCCAACAACCACATAGCTAATTTAACTTTTCATTTTGCAAGTGGTAATTAATTTTCATTTAATTATTGCTTGAGACGTTTAATAAATGCTACATTGCATGAAGAGTTTACATGAAGAACAGACACAGCGGTATCATTATAATACAGCTGTAAACCATCATTCCAGTAATCTTTGTGTTTACGTTATGCAATAGTAATTTTGTATATGCAGCCTAATATCACATAGCCCAGTTCCCAGTAGGATGGTTTTGGGGGATTTTGTTGAAAAAAACACTGTGAAGTGGCCCAAAATAGTATTTAGTCAATTACAAGCCACACTAAAAATTTATTCATTGATTTTATTGCATTAGATAATACGATATCAATAAAGAGGCATCTGCGCACAAATGCTGCTAGAGCTTTTCTCAGAAGTAAGCAAGTTTTGCAATGACTTTTAGTCAACTGGTGTCAAGGTTATTTTAGTAAATGTATGAAGTCAGTTTTCTTGAAATTCACGGTTTAACTAAATATTCTGTATTAAATTTACATTTGTGTTAATGTTTATTCATTTAGCAGATGCTTTTATGTCTGAAAGTTTGTTTCACAGTATAAAAAAAATAAAGGTAATTGTCACTTTTTATCTTACAAATTTCTGACTTTTTCTCACAATTCTGAGAAAAAAGAATCGCAAGATAAACTCAGATTTGCAAGATATAACGCAGAAAAAAGTCATTTGCTAGATGTTAACTCACAACTCGTGAGTTTACAATTTGCAGTTGCAAGATATAAAATTGCAATTCTGAGAAGAAAAGTCTGAATTGTGAAATATAAACTTGCATTTGTGAGAAAAAAAATCTAAATTGTTAGATAAAAGGTCAGCATTACCTTTTTAATTTTTTATTTCTTAGTGAAAAAAGCCAGAATGGTCTGAATCATGAGATATAAACTAAATACAAACATTTAGAGATTGTGAAATCTTACTTTCAAATATATCAGAGTTTGATTATTTGCTATCCCATACAATAGCATCTAATAATACATACATTTTAAAGCATGCCTTCAGTGAAATATTTTTTGGGCCATAGTAGCTTTTTTGTTGAGGGGTTGCTTCAAATGGCATGTTTGCCTTGAAGAGCTCCTCCACCTGTTTCGATGAAGCAGGTTTGTGTTCATTGTGCCTCCCACTGAGACGGCATCTGTTGATTTGTCTGGAGGCTCCTTACAGCACACATAGAAATGAGGGCACACTCTTGTTGTTTAGGCACATATTGGCCTCCTGCCCTCTCTGATCTATCTGCTCCATCTCAGCCAGATTTAAGAAAGAAATAGTTCATGCAAAAATTAATATTCAGTGATTACTAGTCTTTTAAAACCCAAATGACAGTCTTCCATATTTACAACATGTACAAGTACTGAACATATCAATACACTGAATGTTTTGCATTAGATTTTCTATATTTAGTCCCTACTGACATGAATTTAATCTGTGTCTATATCCCCCTCTCTCTGTGTTTCTCTGTCAGTTCGTTGGCCATGTCTAAGGTTGCAGTAAAGAAGCTGCACTGGCGCTCTAAAGTGCAGGAGACCTTCGTACCGCTGGTGGGCAGCTCTGGAGATGTGGGAATTGCAATCGGAGGCGGGGCTGATTATGGAGAGTTCCCATTCATCACCGCAGCACCAGGGGGAGGGATCACAGTTGGCGATATCATCTTAGAAATCGGCGGAACTCCTGTTTTGGGCCTGACTTTAGGAGATGTGCGTGGGCTCCTAAACTCCTGCCCCCATCCAATCCGCATCAAGACAGTGTCTCCAGGTACTGTTGGAATTGTACATTCTCAATTGTCTGGGCTGAACATGGATTTTTGTTCTCTAAATATTTTTTTTTCCTCCAGTGGTGTATCTTATCGCTGTTAGTGATCCTTGTTAATTATTTAGCAAGGACACATTAAATTGATCAAAAGTGACAGTAAAGACGTTTAGAGCGTTACAAAAGGTTACTATTTCATGTAAATGCTGTTCTTTTGAACTTTCTGTTCTTTAAAAAAGTCCTTAAAGGGTTAGTTCACCCAAAAATGAAAATTAGGCTCTGTTTTACTCACCCCCGAGGCATCCTAGGTGTATATGACTTTCTTCTTTCAGACAGATCCAGTCGGAGTTATATTAAAAATGGTCTTTGATCTTTCAAGCTGTTTAATGCCACTCAGTGGGTGTTGCATGCATCAGTCCAAAACTCACTAACCCTTTGATCATGGTGTCCATAAAAATATTAAGGAGCACAACTGTTTTCAACATTGATAATAATAAGAAATGTTTTTTGAGCAGCAAATCAACACATTAGAATGATTTCTAAAGGATCATGTGCCACCGAAGACTGGAGTAATGATGCTGATAATTCATGCTATCACATTTAAAATTACATTTCAGAATATACTGAAATAGAAAACATTGCTTTCGAATTGTAATGATATTTCACAATATTACGGTAATAATTTATTAATATTTTTAGCTTTTATTTTTGTATTTTCAGTTTAATTTTAGTTCACGTTTTAGTAATTTTGTTATGTGCCTTTGTCATTTTTATAAGCTTTGTTTTATTATTAGCTTTAATTTGATTTCAGTTTCAGTTTTACTCATTTTTGTACATCAACTAAAACGTTTAATTCAGCTTTATTTCAATTCAATAATTCAAAATTTGAATATGATCAGTTTTAGTTAATAATACCAACACAAGTTTTTGATGAAATGGAAGCAGCCTTGGTGAGAGATTTATTAAACAAGAGATTTATTTAAAAAACGATTTTATTATTCAAAAATCGTACTGACCCCAAAATTATGAACAGTAGTGTAAATTAATAAATTGTTTGTGTTAATGTTAGTCCTCCTAAGTATACCACTATATCAAGGGTTCTTACCCCCGGTTTCACAGACAAGGCTTAAGCTAGTACCAGACTAAAATGCATGTTTGAGCTGTCTCAACTGAAAATATCTTGCTCTGACATTTCTTAAAATTTGTCAGTGTCATTGTTCTGTGTCAAGATGTATACCTGTAATGTTTTCTTCTAAGGTATTTTTGTTAAAGTTGCTTAAATATCTTATTTAAACTGAGGCCTAGTCCTGGCTTAAGCTAAGCTCCGTTTGTGAAACCTGGCCTTAATGTCATAACAGTATGACATTCTCCGACAGCAAAAAAAAAAAAAAAAAGGTTTTCCGAAGCAGAACAATATCCATTTTTGTCAACTGTTCATATAAAGAGTTTGGTCCCTGGTTGCAGGATTGTGGTATTGATGTCACATGGGTTGTATGTCACCTGTAGGGGGCGCTGATATTTATCACAAGGTGTCATGGCATGATGATTTTTTTTTGTCAACCAGTTTGTCACACCTGACCATGACTTCCTCCGTCCTCTATTAGATTGATGAGCAACCTGAGTCCTCTGCCTCCCCCTCTTCTCTCTCTCTCTCTCTCTCTCTGCTGTTCTCACACCTCTAACACCTCCAAATACTAACTGCAGAGTATTAAATTGAGCTTTGTCAGTAAGGTTATAATTCACTGTTGTATGTTGCATTAGCTGATGAGAATATCTCATAGACCTAGAAATACAGACTTGCGCATCCTGTTCTGTTATTAATATCGTCCTTTGATCTGCCTGTGTATCCTACATAAATGCAGTGGCCACAGAGAAGAGGAGCTTTGTGCTAATTCTAGCACTTCTATTTTAAAAAAGATCAATATGTACTGTCCCTGCATGCTGAAATACATTCAAGTCTTTATAAAAGCAACTCTGTCTTTCAAACAGTGGAACTGGTCATAGTGAACGCCTGAGAATTTGCTTCATTTAGTCCTGTTTCATTTCCAATATTTTGCACTTCTGCAATTTATTGAATTGCTATACTGGATGATAAATTAATAAACTAATTTTTTTAAAAAAGTGATGTGACGTGTCATGTGGCCAAGTATGGTGACCCATACTCGGAATTAGTGCTCAAGTTCTGTTGTTACCAGTAGAGTTCAATGGAATTTACCAACATTGTTAGCTGATGATGCTTTTGGGAAATGCACCCCTGGTTGCCAGATTAATGCAATATGGCTGCTGAGCTGTTCTGAGTGGCATTTAATGTACTTTTACAGTTGAACAGTATTTTTGTTGGTTGCTTTAAGCTTTCTAGTGTTTTTGACAAGTTGCTATGTGGTTTCTACTGTATTCTTGATGACTTCTATGGTGTTTCCGATAAGATGATTAATGTGTTACTGTGTGGTTGCTAGGATATGGTTTGTTTTGGTTGTTCAAGGTTGTTCCAGGAGGTCGCCAGGTCATTGTTGCTGAGGTGTTATTATTTTTTGTTTTTTATATTTTTGATGAAATCTGAGAGCTTTATGACCCTCCATAGAGAGCAACACAACTACCACATTCAAGGCCAAGAAAGGTAGTAAGAACATTGTTAAAATAGTCCATGTGACATCAGTGGTTCAACCGTAATTTTATGAAGCTACGAGAATGCTTTTTGTGTGCAAAAAAGACTTTATTCAACAATTTCTTCTCTTCGGTGTCAGTCCGTTTTAATGATGTCCTTAATGCGTTTCTGAGCCTTGAACTTGTCAGTTGCGTTGCTGTCTGCCGGGTCAGAAAGCTCTTGGATCTCATTAAAAATATCTTAATTTGTGTTTGGAAGATGAATGAAGGTCTTACGGGTTTCGAACAACAGTAGGGTGAGTAATTAATGACAGAATTTAAATTTTTGGGTGAACTATCCCTATAATATTTTTATGCAGTTGGGGGTTGCTAGTGTGTTGTGGGTTGTTGCCAGATCATTGCTATGTGGTTACTAAGGTGTTCTGAATGGTGTTTGGTGCATGCATTGCTATGTGATTTTTTTATTTTTTGCTTGTTGTATGTTCCAGCAGTCAGAAATCTTCTTAACGTTTAGAAAAGTAACAAGCTACATGATTTGAGGTACCATGTTCTTAGCACAAACGATGCAGGACTAGTTACGTGTTGATGAAATTTGTACAGATCCCTGACTGAATGCAATCCACACTAATTTGACTGAATTAAGTAGATGGAGTTCAGAGAGAGCAGCAGGCCAGCAATAGCATCCTCCTGTAATAACATAGCGGTCATTTCATACCTATATGCTGTCTGCCAGTACGAGACTCGAACCCGCAACCTTTGGGTTACGAGTCCGACTCTTTAATCATTAGGCCACAACTTCCCCCTATTAAATGTTATATTGAGTGATGCTTGTCTGTGCCAGATTTGCCACCATGATGTGTGATGTGTTCTGGGATGTGTTTCCAAAAAGCAACTATGATTGCAAGTTCTGTTGTTACCAGTAGAGTTCAATGGAATTTACCAACATTGTTAGCTGATGATGCTTTTGGGAAATGCACCCCTGGTTGCCAGATTAATGCAATATGGCTGCTGAGCTGTTCTGAGTGGCATTTAATGTACTTTTACAGTTGAACAGTATTTTTGTTGGTTGCTTTAAGCTTTCTAGTGTTTTTGACAAGTTGCTATGTGGTTTCTACTGTATTCTTGATGACTTCTATGGTGTTTCCGATAAGATGATTAATGTGTTACTGTGTGGTTGCTAGGATATGGTTTGTTTTGGTTGTTCAAGGTTGTTCCAGGAGGTCGCCAGGTCATTGTTGCTGAGGTGTTATTATTTTTTGTTTTTTATATTTTTGATGAAATCTGAGAGCTTTATGACCCTCCATAGAGAGCAACACAACTACCACATTCAAGGCCAAGAAAGGTAGTAAGAACATTGTTAAAATAGTCCATGTGACATCAGTGGTTCAACCGTAATTTTATGAAGCTACGAGAATGCTTTTTGTGTGCAAAAAAGACTTTATTCAACAATTTCTTCTCTTCGGTGTCAGTCCGTTTTAATGATGTCCTTAATGCGTTTCTGAGCCTTGAACTTGTCAGTTGCGTTGCTGTCTGCCGGGTCAGAAAGCTCTTGGATCTCATTAAAAATATCTTAATTTGTGTTTGGAAGATGAATGAAGGTCTTACGGGTTTCGAACAACAGTAGGGTGAGTAATTAATGACAGAATTTAAATTTTTGGGTGAACTATCCCTATAATATTTTTATGCAGTTGGGGGTTGCTAGTGTGTTGTGGGTTGTTGCCAGATCATTGCTATGTGGTTACTAAGGTGTTCTGAATGGTGTTTGGTGCATGCATTGCTATGTGATTTTTTTATTTTTTGCTTGTTGTATGTTCCAGCAGTCAGAAATCTTCTTAACGTTTAGAAAAGTAACAAGCTACATGATTTGAGGTACCATGTTCTTAGCACAAACGATGCAGGACTAGTTACGTGTTGATGAAATTTGTACAGATCCCTGACTGAATGCAATCCACACTAATTTGACTGAATTAAGTAGATGGAGTTCAGAGAGAGCAGCAGGCCAGCAATAGCATCCTCCTGTAATAACATAGCGGTCATTTCATACCTATATGCTGTGTGTGTGTGCGCGCACATGTGGTTTCGGGGCTTATGTTCCTTTATGAGAACTGTGAGCTGTGTTTTATTACTAAGAGAGGTGGGGTGGGGGTGGGTCTGTCATTTTGATTGGTTCGAGAGGCACTCTGTTCATCTATAACAGCCAAGTGGCCTGTCATCAGAGACCATAAACCACAGCAGATGAAATAAAGAGATCAGCCATGTTGAGTGGAGCAATGGGCAGCCATGCCAAGACTGTGTGTGTGACATTTTTCACTTTAATCCAAGGCTGTGTATGTGTGTGTGGGAGAACGTCTCTGTATGGCACACACTTTTCATTATAACCCGAATGTGTTTCTACATAGCGCAATATGGCATTATACTGACCATAAACATGTGAATTCATTGTAGTCTTCAATAGCATTTCTTTGCAGTTCTGGCCGGAAGGTAGAACAAACCTGGCTTCATTTGATTGATTAGAAACACCTCTAATATCTACAAAGGTTAATCAATACCGCCTCCAGGGACTGGGCAGAATTTATCTGTGTGTGTGTGTGTGTGTGTGTTTATTTTCGCAAGCTCTTCAGTTTTTTTGAATTGCAGATTTTGAGTTGGGTAAGCACATTGTCTCATTTGTAAATGTTAATGTATGGGATATTCTTACTGTACCTGTATGTGTTAAATCAGAATGTCTCTGTTTGGTCACTTGTCCAGCTTTCACTTTCTATTTATAATTTATAATTTCTCTCCTTTTTCCAGGCTCAACTCTATGCAAGGATCTAAGGTTATATCTGAGCAAATGTTTCACACCAGGTTCAGTGGACAGTCAACTCCAGCAGGTGATCCGAGAAAACCTCTACTTGAGAGCTGTGCCCTGTGAGTACCCCAAAAAATACTGTTCAGAAGTTGCCCTTTTGAAGCTTAAAAAGATCTATATAGAGGTCTAATTTATGCTTAGTTTCAATGAGAAGTGTGTAGTTTTCCTAGCATTCCAGACGGAGTAAGAAAGTGACACTCAAACACTCTTCTGTCATTGGTCAGACAAACAGATAGCCCCGCCCCAAACTCACATCATTGAATGATCTGTTGCTGTGTTTGAATGCTTAAACAAGCAGAGCAATGTTTTGAATCCTTAAAGGGGTCCTATTATGCTCTTTTACAAAGTCTTGATTTTGTTTTGGGGGTGTACTAGAACATGCTCTCATGCTTGGTGGTTCGAAAAACACATTATTTTTCACATATTATACATTATTAAAATACCTTTCTCTCCAGGCTGGCACAAACGGCTCGATTAGTTCCGGCTTTGATGAAGGTCCGCCTTCCGAAAAACAAAATGTGTTGTGATTGGTTAGCTGTCCCAGTGCGTTGTGATTGGCGAACAGCTTAGACGGTGTTTCAGTACTGCCCCGCCTCTTGCTCTGTCTTTCAACAAAAGCTTTTGGCGAATCCGGCACTTCTCACTCGTGTTGTGGAAGCTGTCCTCAGTAAAATGCGCAGCACACAATAGCAAATTGGGGTTATAATGCTCAGGAACAGAGTTCAAAAGTAAATTGCAACCACTGTTTCCTGACATCATCCGCTTTCGGAAGAAAAAAACAGCGTTTCAGGCGGTCGCGCACCGGACGAGAAGCGTGGCGTTGCGCCACGTCTTTAAAATTCGAACACATTATTTTGCTAATGTCCACTTCGCAGGGCACTTACAGTCAAATATAACAAACGTATGAAGCAATAAGAGAAACATACAAAATGTGCGGAGCGGCGGTACGCGAGGACTGGAAATGAGAACCGCTGTTCTAGATATGTCAAAAATTTGAGGATACAGCACAGCAGCTCTTCTTGGTTTTCTCTGACGCACTAACTCTGAGTCTGCAACAGCTCTTCTTCGTCGTCTCGTCTCATGCACTCACTCAACCAAGCGTTCTAACCACGACCTCGCCCCTCCCCACCCTCCAACCATTTGAATTTCTGTAGGCGGGAATTCTTTGTAATGAGATTCTAATAAGCTGCTTTGTGATATCACAAAGCCCGGAAACCAAATGCTGTAGTCCAAACGAGCCGTTTGCTGTAGTTCTTGAAAATGGATTTTTAAAAAACGAAATATCTCCCTTTGGAGTGGACTTTGAGATTTGTAACTTTCTAGATCTTTTTATGCCCAAACATACACACTACAAGTGAAAAAGCATAATAGGACCCCTTTAAGACAACTAAAAAGGAAACTAAACGAGACACTATTTTCATGATACATATATCACTATTTATTAAATGTTTATATATGGTAAGATTTTAAGTAAGATTTAAGGTAAGATTAATGGGGATAATTTGGCTTTAGAAAGATTTGAAGAACTGTTTTATAGTATTTTATGTTAAGATCTTTTATCTGAGTCTGAGACAAATCTGAGAATGGAAAACCAAAGCAAAAGTCTACATTTGCTTCATTTAATCTTATTGTATCGATTCATTTGTAATTATTCTTTTCTATGGTTAAACACACATACACACGCAAGTTTAAACAACCCAATAAACTACTAGAAAATGAGCTTGTTATTTCATGCAACAGCTCTTAACATCTTGCACACTTGCAGACTGATCAAACTCAAGGTACTGCAGTTTTTCTGATGAAGTGTTAATTGGGGTGTGATCCATTTAATGGAAAGCAGGTGTTGACAACTCCAACTGGTTTCACTGCGACAAGAAAGACAGGATGCAAGAGAATGAAAGAGAAGGGAAAGGTGAAGGTGAAGATAGTTACAAATAAACAATTTTTTCTGTCATTTACGTGGCATTCTCATCCTCAGTCCCAACATGTTGTTATTTTTCTAGTGAATGCCAAGAAATGTTTGAAGAATCAGTTGTTATACTTTACACAATCCTTTAATATGAGCAGTGGTATTTTGAATGCACATCTTTGACGCTTTGTGAGAGGAAACCCTCTTAACATTTCCATCAAGAGAATGAAAGAGAAGGGAAAGGTGAAGGTGAAGATAGTTACAAATAAACCATTTTTTCTGTCATTTACGTGGCATTCTCATCCTCAGTCCCAACATGTTGTTATTTTTCTAGTGAATGCCAAGAAATGTTTGAAGAATCAGTTGTTATACTTTACACAATCCTTTAATATGAGCAGCGGTATTTTGAATGCACATCTTTGACGCTTTGTGAGAGGAAACCCTCTTAACATTTCCATGCTTTTCACTTTGCTTTTCACGCTCTTTTCTATCAGTCGTCTCTCTTTCACATCCTCTGTTCCGCTCAACTCCCTGTTGCTTCATTTTTCTCTGCCCTTTATCCTGAGCTTTAAAATCCTAATTATATTTTGAGTAATTTCTTTCCCGTTTTAATCTTTGTGCAGTGATAAGACACAGATTTGGATTAACCTCCATCAAAATCATAAGCTTTTGTTAAGTAGATGAAGTTCTGCTAGTTTTTACAGCGGAATTATTACCGGAGACATAAAAGCAGGGGGAAATCATAGGTGTATAAGTCCTGCCTTTCAGTTAAAAGAGCCAGTCATAATTTTTGATCGAGTACACTCTCTCTAAATGCATGATAACCCTAAAAATGTAAAGGTTTATAGTGTGATTTGAGCTAAAGAAGCTGTCGATCAATCTTGTCAGATTTTATTGCTGATTTGAAATCTACTATTTAAGCAGAATTTTGACAAACAGTTTTGGAGATTTCTATTATTTACATAGAAAGTAGTTGTCTGGAGTGTTACCAAGATGGCCGCTGAGTGAACTGAATAGCCTTAAGGGGACTTTGAATTCATTGTGAAACTTTCGTGGCCACTTCAGGAACTTCCTGGTGAGGCTGGCGCTCCGTTTTTCTCTTTCACTGTTCCTCAGACATTGTTTGAAAAGTTTTCAGTCAGTTCTCATAGTTCACCCAGAGGACATGATGGAGTCTGGCTCTGCATATGTGTTTGAGCATGTGTGGGAGTGTGTTTGAAATGTTGCGTAGACTTGAGTGGGGTAATCTCTGATTTATGGTGAAGTAGGTCATGCCGAGCTTGACGCTGCCCGCCGTGTGCCATTCTGCTTGCTGAGCGAGATGCACACACACACAGACACACAAACAATAACTGCAGGCATGCCTTTGAGCTTGTCTTTGGCTCTTCCAAAACACACATAAGCTTCATTTGTGATACAGCAACACGTGCTGCTCTCACATGGTCACCCTCAAATGTTCATTATTTAAATACTTGCACAGAACACTGAACACACAAAACACACTGTGCTGGTTAGTTTCCTCTTCATCTCAGTTTGCTGAAGGAGGAAAAGCCACTACAGCTGGGTACTTTTGATTCCCAATTTTATCCTCACCTAAAAATGCTACAGTTAATACTGGAGAACAAAAGCGGTTTGTACAAACAGGAATGTTTGCAGATGTTTCAGCTGCTGATGTGCGATAATAGTTTTAAAGTTGACATATCATGAAAATCTGACTTTTCCAGGTTTTAAGTGCTATAATCAGGTCCCCTGTGCATCTACCAACCAAGGAAACGTGAAAAAGATTAACTCAGTAACTGTTTTGGTAAGCCTTTTTCTGCAAGCGTCTGAAAAAACAAGCGCGTCAGATTTCGCTCCCTTGGTGATGTGGCAAAGGGATCTCATTATAATATTACCGCTCCTTAATCTGCAAGTTTCCATCCACGGCGTCGTCACTTTGTTTTCGCAAGCGACAACGGTGTACCAGTTCTAATGTCATGGCGAAAGTTTGAGCAAAGCATGCTAACTGTTCTGTCTTTGGCTGCACAGACGAGCACAGAACACTATTTAGAGTCCCAGCCTCAGAGGGGACAAGAGAGCAGTAGAATTATTGATTTATTTATTGCTACTGCCACACAGATCTAAAATAAACAAGCGATTTATTTCTCAGCAGTTTGCCTTCACAGACATAACTGACTGATTTTGTAACTCGTGTGTGTTTTTAACGTAAACTTGTGTGTGAATGAGAACTTAGTTTAGTACTCACATGCTGTGACAGCCGCTTTCTGTCCGTGTGTGCACATAGAAAAACGTATATCAGAAGTTTAAACTCATATGGTTTAAAAAACATGATTTCAGCACGATAAACATGATAATCAGAACCAAAACAGATCATTTTAGCAGGTCCGAGCTGTAATGGTGCAGCTTTATTCTGGAAAAGAGGGTGGGGAGCAGCAGCTCATTTGCATTTAAAGAGACAGGACCAAAAAACAGCGTGTTTCTGCTTCCACTCAAAGTAGGCATATTCAAAATGTTATAATAAGTGATCTGTGGAGTATTTTGAGCTGAAACTTCACAGACACATTCTGGGGACACCGAAGACTTATATTACATATTGTAAAAAGGGGCATAATATGTCTCCTTTAAGCCACTGTGCACATTAATTTTCAGTGATCCATTGTGTTTGAACTTGCAGATAAAATTATGTTGCAATATCATGCAATATTTGGCCAAAATGATAATTGAAGACGTTACTTTATCCCTCTTTGATGGTGTATTCAAGGTACTGTATCTGATTATCACATTAAGACTGATTTCACAGCATAATTTGCCAGACTGACAGATTGCATTTGAAAAAGCTGATTCTATTATGATAGTGAACCGAGTTCAGATTATGAATAATCATCACAAGGCAGTCAAAGCTTTAAAGGACACAGATTTGTTCAGAGGAAAGTGACCATGACGTCTTTTACAGCATGCAGAGAACTTGTTATCAAAAAAGTCCCTTAAACAAGACCGCCCATTGAGCAGCCTTCTTGCTAATGCTTCCTATTTCTGATCTTTTTTTTCTATAAATTTTTCAAAGTGGTCTGTTTCCTCATACTTATGTTGTCTTATGGAGTGTTACTTTTTTGTTGCATCACACAATTACTAATACATGTATGAAAATCT